GTTGGGTGGGAGGGAAAGGGGTATAGGGTGGATGCGGGTAGGGGACAGGGGGTGTGAGGGCGGGGAGGAGAGAGAATGAAAATTTTGTTTCGAATTCAAACGGAAATTATTTTCCCCCTATTGGGATAAAATATTTTTCTCAAAAAATATTTTCCTTGAAAATAGAATCAAATTTTCCCTGGAAAATATTTTATCCCCAACCAAGCACATCCTTAGTTTTAATTTAGATCCTGAATTTATTCTAACGTGTTTCTATGATTTTGTATTAGAGCGCTCGATCCTTATGGCAATTACCCGTCCAAGCGCTGCCCTCACTGAGGATGGTAAAACCAACGAGTGTTCAAAGTTACTCCACCAAACGACACTCTAGCACAAACCGCTACCATGCTTTCTGTATTAGATGACTTTAAGGCGGAAGTGATTGCCCTAAAGGCACAGGCCAGAAGTAACTCTGGGAAGACGAAGGTGAAGCAGTGTACGGAATATTCTGATGATAAAACGGTCACAACCCCCACCGCTTTCCCATATCCAAAGTTGAGTTCCCTAAATTCAGCGGCAGAGATCCACGGGGTTAGGTGCTGAAGGCTGAAAAGTACTTCCGTTACAGAACATCAAAAGAAGACAAGGTAGAGATTGCGGCCATGCACCTGGAGGGCAACACTCTCGACTTGTTTTCCTGGATCAATGCCGAAAGGACACTCTTGTACTGGGAGTTATTTATCAAAATCATTGAGGAGCATTATGGACCGCCAGAATACTTAAACCCAGACGAACACCTTGTCCTAATCAAACAAACAGGTTCTATGCAGGACTACCGTCAAGAAGGGTTGCTCGAATCCAAAATTGGCCGGACCATTGTTTCTTGGGTGTCTTCATGGCTGGATTGAGAGAAGATTTGAAGTTGGAGGTCAAAATTCACAAACCTAACTCTTTGTTCAGGCTTCAAGTATAGAGCTCGAGTTTGAGAAATGGAATATGCCTCTGCATTTCAAGACAAATCAGATGCGCTCAGGTGGTTTGAGAGTTCAGGTCCTCTCACTTGTCCAAACCAAGAGGTAAAAAACCCAACCCAATCTCACTCGTCCGAGCAGCTTGCGTTCTCAGGCTCAACACCGCTCAACATTTGCCCATAATGTTGCCCTTTTTCGCAAAAGAATGAAATCGAGCTCTTATACCGCATGGTGACCCTATGAAACTCTCCCCCATGTCCCCACATAACCATGAGAGTCAAGGGACTATTATTCAAGTTCTAAGATACATTTTGGCTTGAATTAAATGGTCTGTAAACCCGAAAAGCCAAGACTTCCAGTGGTAAAACCCGCATCAGTCCAACCCATCCAAAAATATCCAAAATTATTTTATCTTTTTTAAGACAAAAATAAAGTCTTCTCCTAGCCAAAATAAGCCTTGGCCGAAATTTGGAAGGAAAACAAGACAAAATGCTTTAGTTTTCCTTTACCCTAGTATTGGTGTGCTTTCTTTTGTGTTTTCCACCCTATGGCTGAAACTTCTGCCTTAAGAGCTTGTTTTCTTTAACTTATTCTTATTACTTATTACTTATTCTTATTGGAATCTTATCAAATCAAACCAAATTAGATCGGAAACAGCTTGAAATGGAGCACTGTAAGTTTGTATTTTCTTCTTTGTAATTGTTATTAAATTATTATAAATAAAATATCACTTTGTTTACTTTGAATGGTGTTGATGATTGAGATGTATTTCATTATTTTATGTGTTGTTATGATGATGTTAATTGTTATATACTCCCTCTGTCAACAAATAAACTTCTCATTGCGCGTTACGATGTTTGACTAAGTTATTTTCAAATCATTTTATATGAAAAATGGTTTAAAAATAAAAATTACATATACAAAAACTATATCAAAAGATCTACAAAAGTAGAGGTGACATGACTATATTTTTTTATCAAATGGGCGAGGAAAATAGGCCAACAAAGTGAATAAAGTTTGACCCTATGAATAGTGAGCGGGAAGTTTATTTGTGGATGGAGGGAGTATGAAATTATAATTTGACACGGGTTAGGATTTGGTATTAGGATTCAAACAATTTAATTTGTCTCTTAATTAGTAATTGAATTAATTGTTAGAGAATGAGTTAGTGATGATTAATTAATAGAACTATTTATATTATTAATTAATTTTTTATCTTGTCTATAAGGTAATTAAATTAATTGTTCCAAACACCAAGAAATAGACAGAGTTAGAAATAACTGTTTGGAATGGTTTCAACTAATTAATAATATTAAATGTTTTATTAATTAAGTAATTGGAAAATAATTCTTGCTTTATCTTGTCTATGAGGATTTAGAGTTATTCTAGCCAAGCACTTTGTAGCAGAGACCTAAAAATAGGAGATATAGGGGAAATAAAATAATCTTATATTTTATTATTGAGACCTAAAATAGGAGATTAGTTAAATATAAGATTAGCATTTGTGTTTTGTGCTGATACCTAGAAATAGGAGAAGTATTGAACATAAGTGCTACACATTTCATTAACCCAATTGCCAATTAAAGATGAGTTAAATTTTGTTGAGTCTGAGTTCTGTTGTTCCATTTAATTTGATTAGTTTTAAAAGACTATTAGACTATAACTAGCCGTGATAAAATAATAAAACTAATTATTCCCTTCATCACTCCTAGAGAGAGAACGACCCGAGTCCAACTTGGATATTTGTTGACTTACCGCTATATGCAGTTCGTCACCCACCAAGTTCCTTTATTTGGGGATGCCAATACCTCTTGACTTTTTGAATTTTGAACATTCCTTGCAGGCTGCAGCAGGACCCGATTACTTGGATGAGTTAAAGTTGAATCCAATTGTTAATCCTAGGTTTACTGTGGTAAATGGCAAGCTGTTTTATCAAGGCCATTTGTTTGCTCCACGCAATTCTTCAGATCGGACCAAATTGTTTGAGGAGGCTCACCTCATGCCATGCAGGCACCATGGAGGGTTCTAAGATTTTTAGGGCCCTACACAATTACAAGGAAGGTGGGACCAGTGGCTTATGAGCTTAAACTTCCAGACACCTCCTGTATCCACCCGGTTTTTCATGTTTCTCTATTGCGGCCAGCTAAGGGCGTTTCCCTGTCCAACCCTCCAGCCACTTTGCCCCTCTTTACAGATTTCGAAGTGCTCCTGTAATCGACTTCAGTCCTTGACCACCGCTGGAAGGGTTCTATCTTGGAATTGCTAATTCAATGGAAAGAGTAGATCAGATGAGGAATCTAGTTGGAAAGAATATGAGTTAATACATCAGCAATACCCAGGCATCCACCTTGAGGACAAGGTGGCTTTCAGAGACCGGGGTAATGATAAGATCTGGATAACTTATAGTAGAAGGCCACGTTAGCATCCTTAATTATATTACTCTGTACTATTTAATTGAGTTTGTTGTTTATTTAATTACATCACTATCAAGAAAATAAAATATTGTTCAGTAATATTGAGATTATCTTGGCTTCTATTCCTTTTCACGGCGAGATTCTTATGGAGAGAAGGGAAGGAGAGTTCTGTTTTGTTTTAATATAGATCCTGAATTAATTCTAAGAGGTTTCAATCTGTGCGTGCGCATGCAAATGAGTGGTAATGTAAGTTTTATTCTAATATGTCAAAAACAATAATAAATTTGGTTTGACCAAAATAGGTTTGAGCTTTCCAATTCGCACTTCTACTTCATGGAGCAAATGGAATGAATTTATAATCTCTCTTACACTAACTAGCGTGTGAGTGATGACATCAAGTGCGACAAAAAAAGGGAAACAAAGTTAAGAGGTTCACTATATACCTGAGAGTCATATTTTGGATGCGAACCCTTTCAATAAATAGGTCTTGCTCATCCCCATCATCATCAACATCATTGCCCTCCTCTTCATCTTGTACAGATATTCCATCTGATTCTTGACTTTTCATATAACTCAACCTTTTTTTCCTTGATAAGAACCTTTTCAGGCTGTGTAAATCATAGGCAGGATAAACATTGATAAAATAAAAATTTGCTCAAAATAACCAGTAGCATAACTGACTTAAGGATCAAAACACAAACCCCATATATACAACAACAAAGCAAACAGCAATGAGAAACAAAGAGTCCTGGTTTTTACATGAATATAGCATGGATGGATACTGAGACTAAAAATTTATTGAACTGAAATAGACCCTTTTGACCCTTTTCACCTATAAAATATTGTCACTTCTTAAATAGCACATGTTTCAAGAAAAAATGTATCAGAATGAACATTCGATAACCTTGATTTAATTGACTTACCCAGTGAATTTCAAAAATCCTTGCCAAATACGTGAAATAATAGTGTCGATTTTCCATTGAATAAAGTAAGAACTCATATGATCAATTCCAAAACCACGCCGGAAAATTATGTACTGCAAACCAAGTAACCATTATTAGGATACATAAGGAAAGAGCATGAGTGCACACAAAACAATCCAACTCTCATTATTTGCATAATCGAAGGGTTCCTGAGAGGTTCCTTCGCGAAAGCATGGATCATTGAGAACCATAGGGTTTGTGGCATTCTTCTTTTATGGTTTCTCCTCAGGGGATTCCATGTAAATCTTGAGTTGAGGGTGAATTAGAAACAAGTTCGGCATCTTTACACACAAGGGTAAGGTTTGCATACACTAACCCTACCAAGACTCCACTTGTGAGATCTTACTATGTTGTTTTGCATGGTTTACGAGCCATAATTCTTATCGCAAAACTATGTTACCCCTAAATAGTACTCCTTCATCCCAAATTAAAAGTGCACTTTGATCAGATGCGAAGTTTAAGAAAAGTATTGAAAATTGAAAGGCGTATGGTAGGAATTGATTTGAAATAGAGAAATAATAATGGCCACATATTCCTTGCCAAAAAGATAAATTGACCTATATTTTTGGGAAAAACCAACAAGGAAAGTGGGTTGTTTATTTTGGGACGGATGGAGCATTAAAAAAGTTTGTCAAACGATCAAGGAGGGAGAGAGAATTCTTTTATTTTACCTTTACCCTTTCAGATGTTAATTACAGCGACAACAAACCCTACAGAATTCCAACTTCGTTGGGGTCTGGTCAGGAGTAAAAAATAAAGTACTTTTGTAAGACCAATGATGCATTTAATGTCCAATTTCTATTTAGTCCATAACTCTAAGGATGTCTAAGCTAAAACATTATAAAACTGGTTCTTTTAGCTCCACCAATAATAGACAAATCCAGTGTGGGAAGATTAAGAGTAAGCAAATGCAGAACTTCCTTGGTTGAATTATGGGCCAGATGACCACGAGAGTCATCTAATTGGGTGTGAAGGAACACCGTGTATTGGGCTTGAGATGTGTAGGTATGCTTAGGAACATAGCCCTCTATAGAAGAGGGTAAGCTGAAGTAGTTACGGAATATGGTACACAACCCACAAGAGTCATTGGAATTAATCTCAAGGCCGGAAGCTGAATGATTTAATTTCCATTATGAGACCCTTGGGACTCTCAATATACCTTTGTGCACAATTTAAACTATAAAATACACTAGAGGAGTTTTACATATATGTGATTATGGTGTATCACTTTTTACAACAAGATAATATATACTTCTCTTGTTTCAAGGGTGAGTATTGTCTTAGCCCTTAGGCCAAAAAATTCTTTTTCTTATTCTGATAAAGGTCAATAATTGCAACAATTTTTACTATGCCAAGGGTGGGGAGAAGGTTCAAGATTATTCCCCCATCGCCCCCTGCTACTCTGATAAAGATGAAGATAACATTCCCTATCTCCCACTGAAAACGTGATGCATAGCCATGAAAAGAATCTTAGATTTGTTGCCATAATCAACAAGACAACAACATTACTACAATGCCTCTAGCGAGAATCTCAGCCAATGAAGAACAGTGAGGAATCAGATGGACGCATCCTTATCCATGTGAGGCTATGAAATCTCTCATAGAGTCGTCAATGCCATTTGAGCCTTATATATACACAACTATCTGTTGTTTCACTATGGATAAAAAAGCAGTACAAATAGCTTATTATGCCATTTTGATTGGTCCACAACAAGCAAATGCCAAAGAATAGTGAATTTATTGCCACTCTCTTCTATCAAATCAAGTTCAGTTGATACTCATTATTATTTGCAACACAAAATACAGCTATAGAATTCAATCAAGACAATTCCCATAATATACAACAACCCTATACTGTCCCACAAGTAGTGCCTAGGGAGGTTGTCTTTATGCAAACCCTCTCCCTACCCCCTACCTATAAAGGCAGGGAGGTGGTTTTGGAAAGACCCACAATTCCCAAGATATAATGCTCTACACATGCAATTCATTTTCAACCAGAATAAGTAACATTTCCAAAAAGAAAATAAGTTTTAATACAATGTTTGCTATTTTTGAAATTTTTCTACAGTAAGGGATTCAAGAAGGTACCTGGTTAGCAAAGTATGGAAGGTGATCATGAGGATGTTTAGTGAAAAATTGCTTTAAGAGCGAGGTGTCAAGCTACAGTGAGGGAAAAAAGGGAATTAAGAACAAAAGTATAAAAGGAATTTAATGATGCATAGATCACATTGAACCCAAAAAAACGTTTGACCAGGATAAAGTGACCCCTCAGTGACAGATTGTTTGATTATTTCTTAGTTTCTTATGCCATCCTCCTCCCAATTCTTTGAACTTCCTTCTAAACTTTATTATGGTTATGCCATAGTGACATTTATTTTGGGACTGTCAAGGGTGTAACATTTTAATTAAAAACACAAACCTTTGTCTCATCAACTTTGATAGGAAAATTTAGACGATATTTCCCAGAAACTGCAACTTCAACTTCATCATTGGTAACAATTTTGAAATTACTCTTGTTCATCATCTTCATAGGAAAATAAATAAATAAATATACAGATTAATTCCTCAAAAAAATAATGATACAGATATAAGAAATTAGAAAAAGCAATATAACAGTTGCCACGATCTTCAGATGATTAAAAAAATACAATGGAGCATCACGTTGCATGAGCCTAGGATATGGATTCCCCTTTACAATTAAGAACAATAAAGATATTTGCCTTCAAGATTGTAGTCATGAATAGCGTCTACTACAATTATAGAGCGTTAGAAATATAGACACCATGCCACCAATATATCAATATTTAAATTACCTCTGAAAGCAAATTAAATACTCCGTAAAAAAACTTCTTGAAAAAGAATAAAAAAATAGTCCATTTAACAGCTAGAAGTTCTCTGGAAACTCCATAATGATCATAATGTACAGTCTCAACTATATGGATTCACTCGACAGCATAAAAATATCCACATGTTTAGTTAGAACTTAGAAGAACTGCTTTCCATAGTTAAGGTGGAAGTGAGAAAGAAAGTAGAAACAGGTACAGTGTGTGAGAAGTGGAATGGATTGTTTAATTCAATATGTCACTATTGCTTAAGTTGAATCAATGTAGACACAATACTTGACAAGTAACAATGTCTACAAATGGTTTTACAGGCTGCAAAAGTTCAGAAAATCGTGCAAGGGTAAAAACTGAATAATACGCTGGAATTATTTTAACACCTAACAAAGGTAGGGTTAAGGGTAAAGCAACTTGAATTTTTTTAACGTTCTGTTTCCAGAACTATTTTGCACAGCCTCAAAAAGAGCAGCTAAAAGTTAAAACAATGTGTACTACCTCAAAGAGATGCTCAAGGAACTTCTGCTCAAGTTCATCGATTTCTTCTTGAGACAAGTTCTGCTCTTCCAACTTGCAAGCCCCATGAACAGGATCAAAAAGGGTGTGCAATTGCTAGGACCAAAAACCAAACACATACACAGTTTGAACCCAATTCTCCAAGAAATTATATAAACCTTGAAAGAACAACAAAATTACCATCATCTCTTCGAATTTCACTAGATACCATGCTCGAATTGTGTATTCAACTTTCTTGCAGAATTTCATAAACTGCTCCCTGTCTGACTTTGGCTCTGCATAGTAATTCAGCTTAGTCAGCTCCAAAAGAAACTAGATCATGAGCTATCTCAGTCCTTGCCTTTTTAGTATGATTAGGCAATAAGATGAAAATCATATATGGTCCATTTTGTGTGGAACAATGTCAAATAGGTAAGAGAATGAAGTATGTACAATCACAAATTAGAGTAAAAAAAACCAAACTTCCTCTTAGCAGCCATAAGTTTTTCATTGCAAGTGCACCCTTCCTTCCTCAATGGCATTAAGTGTACAAAATAATAATCATTTTCATCACCACAGGTTATTCATGTCAATAGGTTACCTGAATCTCTAAAGATCGAAAATGGAAAGGTGATTTTTATATTTGTTTAGTAAGCTCATCTCGCATACGCAGTGCACATTTCAGAAAGTTGTAGTATACTAATGTAAAACACACTTCTACCAATATGTAGCCACATTTTTGGATAGCACCAACTTCCCACCCTTGGCATGAAAAAAGTGTAAAACTCTAGTAAATGATTCTCCACCTATTCCTGACAGTATCAAATATTTCTGCAGCTTTCCCCTCCCCCCTTTTTAAACCTACACTACAGGCAGGGGAAAAAATAGTCCGAATGAAATTTTACCAATGAGCTGGGATAATCTATATATTAACTTAGGCTTGGTAATTGGGATTACTGACTCGCGATCCAATTGAATCACTTCTCTCTTCTTTTTCTTTCCCATTTTCTCAAACCCAAATTCAGAAGAAAGAAGATAATAACAATTAATTCTTCCCAAATTACAGAAAATTATCAGATCCCATTCATGTAACATTCGGATTGAAAAATAGAAGTATACCGTGAAAATGGGCATGTGCGCAACAGAAAACAGGTGGTAGAAAATTGGAGCCAAAGAGTGAGAATAGGAAGAAGAACAAACTCCATAATTTGCGCCAATTGACAAAATTCTAGAAAGCTGTTAACTTTCTTTTGCCGTTTTATTGATTTCCCTCAGAGGCAAAAGGTTTTGAACGTAATTTCTGAATGATGCAATAATTTCATGAAGATTGAAGATTGAGTTATGCAAAATGAAGTGGTCCATTTGTTCCATTGAGAGGTTCGCTGCACGAATTTCTTCTGTATTTCATTTTTTGCGTTTAGAAAGAAAGAAGGGTCGTCATTTTGCATGTATTTATTACTACCCTTAGCAAAACTATAGGTCAGGTCGGGTTCGGATTTGGTATAATCGAGTTCGGGTTATTTTGCGTTCGGATCACTTCAGGTTCGTGTCTAAGAGTGTTTGTTCATGACCCAGCGTTATCGGGTTCGAGTTGACCCAACGGGTTAAGAAGCGTATTTAAAAATTAAAATTTTTGTTATTTAGAGATCATGTGAACCGAGCATTATTTAAAACAAAGAACGAAATAGTAAAAGTTTGCAATTCTATTTGCAACATACCAAAAGAGAATTGCAATATACCATAAAAATCACCTTTTTTGCAGCATACCAAAAAAAAGAAAAGAATTAAAACTTGAGTTACACGTAGGAGCAATTGAAGACGATCAAATAGGATTAAAAATTCCACTATTGATCTTGTGTCTTCTCACCATTTTGATTGATTGGGCATCTAATATCGACGAATGTGGAAGAACAATGTGTGTGTGTGTGTCTATATATATATATATATATATATATATATATATATATATATATATATATATATATATATAAGAGAGAGAGAGAAGGGAGAGAGAGATTGGAATGTTACTAGATTTAGATTAGGTTTTACGCCTTTTGAGTTTTGAGTAGTCTAATGGGTATATCATATTTTAAATAATATATATATAACTAAATAACTAATAAAAAATAAGCAATTAAGTATATATATATATATATATATATATATATATATATATATATATATATATATATATATGGGATTGACTCCAGTGAGATGACACCTTATGGTAAGATGACATGCTTCAATGAAATGACACAACACACAACACTGCCAATGAAAAGTTCACCAACTGCCAATGCAAAGCTCACCAACTACCAATGCAAAGCTCACCAACTGTCAATGCAAAGCTCACCACTTTTTTTAAATAAAAAAAGTTAAAAAAATAACACCACCACTCAGCCACCACTCAACCACCGCTCAACCACTGGTCCACGGCAACAGTGGGAGTCATCGGTGGTGGACATTAGTAATGGGCGGTCAAAGTGTAAAGCTCACCAACTATGAATGCAAAGCTCACCAACTGTCAATGGAAAGCTCACCAAGGAACAATGCAAAGCTCACCACTTTTTTTTTAAAAAAAAGCTAATAAAGCAAAGCTCATCACACTACACTACAAAGCTCACCAATGGACAATGCAAAGCTCACCTGGAAATAAAGCAAAGCTCACCACTTTGAACTCCAAAACTCACCTTTTTTTTTAAATTTTAAAAATTAAAAAATTCATTAAAAATAAAATAACAACACCGGTCAACCACCGGTCAAGGGCGGCGGAGCAGTAGTGGCGGCCGGAGCCCGACGGCGGCGGCCGAAGTCCGGCGACGGCGACCAGATTCCGGCGACCGGCGGCCGGCGGACGGCGACCGGCGACCGGCGGCGGCAGGCGGCGGTCAATGCTGGCGGTCAACAGTCAAAGTTCAGTCAGCACCCTTTCCTTTGATTTTTTTTTGGAAAAAAAAGCAAAGTGTTGAAAAAATATGGTGAGCTTTGCCTTACACTTTGGTGAGCTTTGTAGTTGTCTTTGGTGAGCTTTGCAATTACCAGTGGTGAGCTTTGTGTCATCTGATCGAAGCATGTCATCTCACCGTAAGGTGTCATCTCACTGGAGTCAATCCCTATATATATATATATATATATATATATATATATATATATATAAAAGAGAGAGAGAAGGGAGAGAGAGATTGGAATGTTACTAGATTTAGATTAGGTTTTACGCCTTTTGAGTTTTGAGTAGTCTAATGGGTATATCATATTTTAAATAATATATATAACTAAATAACTAATAAAAATAAGCAATTAAGTACATAACTGGTCGGGTCAAACTCGACCCGACCCGTTCTGACCCGAAAATTTAACAAGTCTTCGAGTTTGGGTCATTTCGGGTTCTGGTCGCAAAATCAATGTTCAAAACCCTCTAATTTCGAGTCGGTTTGGGATTAATAACGAGTCAGCTCAAAATTTTCCAGGTTTATTTATTACTACTCATTATCTCACTCCCATTATATTTTCTTATTTTTTATTTCACAACGGCATATTGTTTGTCAAATACTCTGTCTAGAAATATTTTTTCCATTTTCCTTTTTGACCTGTCCGGAAATATTTTTTCCATTTTATTTTTTAGTACACTTTTTTTAAGGATAAATTTCAATAATATCCTTATATTTTATCACTAATCTACTTTTTTATTGTTTTTAATAAAGAAAGGAGATTTAAAAGTTTATAGTATGTGCATTTTTGGAAATTTGGCATTTTTTACTATTCATTAATAAACATGTCAAATCAATACGGGAAGAATATTCCCAGACGTAGAGAATAATAACTTACAAACGAAAAATAATGAACAAAATAGACATTCATTACAACAATATTGTCGTGGTTGTTCTCACTCGCTTCACGCGACAGAGTAACGAGAGGGGTAGGGATGGTGTAGGCATGATCACCCATTCCACTTGGGCATGCCAACTAGGATCACGGGTATTGTGAGGCATTACATGTTGTCTAATATGTACTCCCGTCACAAAAAAATCACATTTTTTATTTAGATTTCTCAAAAATGCGTTACAACTATTTTGTTCTCAAAATAGGATTTTGTATTATGATAACGTGGCACTGTATATAAATATTTTGGAATACTTTTTGGTATTATTTACTAGAATTTTGACCTGTGCCACGCACGGGATTGAACAGATATTTTTGTCGATTCTAAAAAAATTTAATGCAATATTTTTTTCGGATTAAAGAAACTATACTTCTCGCATGATTTTTAATGCCATAAAAAAACCAAAGTAGAATAAATAATATTTGAGAAATTGAAAATGTTAAAAAAAAATTAATACCAAATTACTGTAAAACTTCGGGGTATACAATATTTTTAGTATGGTTTCAAGGGTTTCATTGTCATCTAGGACGAATATTTTTAATCATGTTTTTGTCTTTTCTCGCGGAACAGCAACATAAAGCTGACCATGAGCGAACACCGACTTGGTATATGTGTTACAACTATTTTGTCCTCAAAATAGGATTTTGTATTATGATAACGTGGCACTGCATATAAATATTTTGGAATACTTTTTGGTATTATTTACTAGTATTTTGACCTGTGCCACACACGGGATTGAACAAAGTTTTTTGTCGATTCTAAGGATTAAAGAAACTATACTTCTCGCATGATTTTTAATGCCATAGAAAAAACCAAAGTAGAATAAATAATATTTGAGAAATTGAATATGTACAAAAAAATTAATACCAAATTACTGTAAAACTTCGGGGTATACAATATTTTTAGTATGGTTTCAAGGGTTTCATTGTCATCTAGGACCAATATTTTTAATCATATTTTTGTCTTTACCCGCGGAACAGCTGTTGGACATGAGTTCAAACCCCTTTATTATTTTTTGGATATTTTTGTTTTGATAAATGACAAACAGGATGATTAATTTCAATCGATATTCGAAAATTTATTTTTTGTATCGAGAAAAGCAAAGAAGGGTATCAAGAAGTTTACGGTGATAAAAATCAACGCTCACCCCTACGCAGATTTTTGAAGCGAAGTGAAGACTCCGAAGACTTTTATTTTTTTTGAGTCTAGGAATATTTGTAAGGATGATAATAATTTTTGCATAAACAAATTAATTTTTGAGGGATAAAAATTATTTTTTTAAGTCAGTTGAAAAATTATTTTTCTCTGTCTAAATTTTTTTTACTGAGTCAGTTTTAAAATAGTGTGTCAAAATTTCTTAAAATACTTTTTAAAGATGCACAAATTTTTTGTGGTAAGAAAAATATACTTTAAAGATTTTTCTTGTACATCGTTTGGCACACAAAATATTTTTGGGACTCAATTTCTACACCAAAATTCAATACTTAATTCAAATTTTGAATTTGAATTAATTCATTCCAACCTATTTGGTTTGTTTGTTTTTGGGAGCCTTATCATATTCAAATTCTTGTCCAAAACAAGTCATTAAGCTCCAAAATATTCACTCAACTCACACACATGTTTTGGGTCCTCATGTTTGGGGTTTGTTCGTTACAGGATCGATCCTTTTGTTTGGATCGATCTCCGTGTGAGAACTCTGGGAGTTGGATCGATCCCCACATTAGATCGATCACATCAATTTGGGATATTTTCTTCGGAGGATTGATCAACCCGTATGGATCGATCCCCCGTCACTTAATCTTATTTCGCTTCCCAAATTTTAACTCCTTTGGATCGATCCTTTTCCTTGGATCGATCCCCCGAAGCTTTGACAGAAAATCTTTTTCAATCCATTACTCCAGATGATCGATCCTTTGCCCTAGATCGATCCCCAACGGTCTAATCTGTCAAAAACACTTCATCCCTACTTCCAACGGATTTATTTCTTTTTCCTTATAAAAACACTCATCCTACTTCATTAAAAAATACATCTCTTGCACTCCAATATCTTCATTGATCAATATTCAATTCTTGCTTCCATCTTCCTCATTAAATATATTATTTTGAGAGTTAGAAATATTTTATTGAGTGCTAAAGATTTTGTCATCCATAGAGCTTTAATTCTTCAACACTACTTTGCTCAATTGTGTGAGCTATCATTCTTGTGTTGTAAACTCAATATCATTTGAGTGTTGTTCTTAAGACTTGTGTGACTCAAGTCTTGTTGTTGTAAGAAAGTGAGGCTTGTGTGATTCAAGTTCTCAAATTGTACCGGTTTTTCAAGCACCCGTTGAAGCTTGAAGATTAGTAGGACTTTCGAGAGAGTCTCTCGGAGGACTGGACTAGCCACGTGGTGGTGAACCAGTATAAATCTCGGTGTTCTTCTTTCCCTTACTCTCTTTATTTATTCCTGCGATTTT